GCGCCAATAAAAGCCCCATGCTGGGAAAGAAAGCGAAAATGAAGACACCAGAGAGCAATCGGTATCCCCTTTCAGCACGATCGTGTGTAAAGAGGCGGAAACGTGCGCCGAGGGAAACGCGCGGCGGCGAAGATCAAAGGAGGAGGAGGAGGAGGAGGAGAGATGCGAGGGGCGACATCGAGTGTCATTCCGAGATCGCAGAAGTTAATTTCGATGGAAGGCCGGCTCAAAGGGGGGGATAGAGACCTCGCGCGAAGAGCTTTATCGCGCGCGCACGGAGCGAGCCGAAAAGCCGCGAATGAAGATGAAGCGAGAGAAGCGGGGAGAGCCCAAGGGAGAAAGACACGGGCCAAAGAGATATCGGAGCTTTCGGAGGTTTTCAAGGGGATGGAGAGGCAAGATGGCAGGTGCGGGTGATTGGGGGCGATCGATGAACCTCCGAGGAAAAGCCTGGGGTAGTGGGTGCCTAGGAGGCCGAAAGGGAGGAAGGGGGCGTCGTGGGGCGGATGCTTCGAGGGGATGCCGAAGGGTGGTCGGTCGACGGGCAGGGGGTGTTAGGCCGGGGGCAGGAGGTCACACGGGTTCGCGTATGTATAATACGTAAGCTAGCTCTCTCCCTCGTGTGTACACACACTTCTCGTATTCGACGTTGTGCAAATAGCGCGACTTGCACGTGCACGCGATGCGCGCGGCGTACGGCCGAGAGAAAACGAAACGAAATGAAAAATGCGGTTGGGATAAGACGCGCGGGCCCTTTAGCGCGGCTAAAGACGAGAGGTCGATACGCCTCTCTGCTCGCCTCGCTTGAGAATGGTAGCTTTTCTCAATACCGTGCTCTGCAATCTGCATACGATAGATATTAAAGTCACGTGTGCGGTGAGTAATATATCGACGATGAAAATTACCAATTCTCAATTGATTGTGTCAAACACGTGACTTTCATCACGATCGCGCTTGCTGTAGGAGAATTGTACCATTCCGCACTCTCTAAAAACTCTCTAATATCAATGTTTAAGTTTCTCCATAAGTCCATGAAAAAAAAAAATATCTTCCCGAATAATGCATGTAACGGTAAGCATTCCCAGGGGTTAATCTGCAATTCCAAGAATTCCCCCAAAGGAGCACACCCGGCCAAATGGCCGAACCGGTGGGACCATTAGGAACAATCAGAGCGAAAACTCGGGGTCGAGTGAGCAGGATAAATGTTCAAGGAGACAATCGAGCTCGGTGTCCTCCTTGGATGTCATATTACTTATTGATTTCAAAGGAATTCCGCGTAGAGGTTGCCGGCCGGCAAACGCTCTTAAATGGCGGTAATATTGGTCCGGGGGCCGGGCCGGTCTTTGACGGGCAATCGAACGGCCACGTCGTCGTCGGTTGGCGGTAAATCAAAGCACGTCTCACTCGTCTGAATTCCGTGCGGATGATGTCACGTTTCGTATCGAGCCGTGAGAACATCCGAAAAGATACGAGAAAGAGAGAGAGAGAAAGAGGCGAAGGAATTTCGGCGCGGTCGAGAAGTCGCCAACGACGTGGCGCGAGCAATTAAATTAATAAACGACGAGCCGATAAGCGTCATACCACGGCATCGCACATCAACAGAGAGGGGAAGCGCGAAAAGGTAGCGCGATCGTGCAATTAGGATTATCGGCGATCGCTTGGCGCGGCCCTTTGTTCGCCCCGGTTCGCCCCTTTCGGACTTTCGAGCGTTCGGTTAGAACCCGGATGGTCGTAGAAAGGGAGTAGTCGTACGCGGGGGAGGGGGGAGGGGTTTGGGGCATGAATTTCGATGCGCATTATGTATGCGAAAGTTTCCGGCGAAGGCGACTAATCGCGGCGGTTAATTCTTGGAAGCGATATTGCGGGAGAATGGAAGCAATATTGCTATCTCGACGAATTCTTGGGAGCAATAAACCATAGATATTTCCCGCTCGAGTTGCGAAATCACACTTGTACGTATCATAACGTTCTAGATTTGTGCGATATATTCTAAGAGAATGCTGAGTGTAGAAGTAATTACAATCTGTGTATAAATGATATGTTTATAGTCCCTGCGTGATGAGCCGAAACGATCTATATTCTTTCTAGTAAGTCGATAATTATATTCTCCGTTCTCTTCCTCTAGATCCCTTATTCGAGGCAAACTTCAGTTTCACTCATTTCCAAGCCGTACTTCACGACTTGGAGTAATTCTCGATCATTTATCTCTGTTAGGCGGCAAATGGGAACGATAAAAATGATAATACGAGTGCGGTGAATAGAAAGGAAGATTAAGGACTGTATGCAGTTGCATGCAGTAGCGAGTCTCAGGACATTCCTCCCGTTACGTAACCGACTTTTCGCTAAACAAAAACTAAGTATATACAGAGGATCGATAATGATAAATGATAACTGTTACACCACTGTTGAAGAAAATTGCGTCAGTATATTGTGCATAATGTACTTATATATCGTTCTAGATAGCTGGTAATGTAGACTCGTATTAATAATTACATGGAATTAATGATTTTCACTCATTATAATTATCGATCCAACATTTTAATGAAATGAATACATTTTCTATCGAATGAATGTAATTAAATCCGTTATAAAATCAAATGAGGAGTGGATATTTTATTTAAACCAATACTTTGTCATTCTTGAATCGCTGCGGAATTTTTCTTTTGTCATTCATTAACTATTCTATCTAAAAATTCTAATAGAACGGAAAATTCATTATCTCCGTTGAAAAAACAATTTCGGACACATTCCGCACGATCGTGCGCGTAAATTATCGCGTGCATTAAAACTAGACAAACAAGAGCAGCGTAGCTGATAACGCGGCGACGAGGGTGGAGAGGGAGAAAGCCAAAGGGTAAAGAAACGTAATGCTGCACAAAGTCAACGCCCTGGCAGCTCGACGCTCGCTGCATTATGCAACCCTCCCGAGCGACCAGTCAAAGCTCTCTCTTTCTCTCTCTTTCTCTCTTTTTCTCTCTTTCTCTATAGCTATATACGCATTACCACCAGCAACCCCACCATTACCGACACGAGCACGACTCCAGCAAGGCCACAGTGGTATAGCTATCTAGAACCACGACCACCCCTGCAACTGGATACGCGACTATAGTAACAGGTCCAAACCTATTTCTATATCTGTCGATGAGAGCGAGCGTAACCGAGTTGTTCCCGATGGTAGGGAATTTATATCATTTACTTGGCACACGCAGAAATGCAGTCGTATACATGCACACGCAAAAAGAAAATCTGTCATCGAGAAGAACGGCACGAAAAGTGGTAACACGTTGCAATTTAGAATTATCATAAGTAACGTTGAGCCTCATGAGTCGTGACGATTTGCCAAAAAATTCAACTTAATACACAAATGTTCCAAATTACCATGACTATAAAATTCGTGTGCAATTTTTATATAGACTTCCCCGCAACAGCGTTACGTTTATTTGTGGTACACGAGAAGAGCTCTAATGAGTTTTTCATAGTTGTTCTCTGGAGAGTCTTAATTTTCAATTAATGATTCAAGGGGAGATCCCAATAAATACAGGAGTCGAAGATTCAAACGGCTGAAGGTTCGTATTGTTCAAGGACACCACACGATAATTTAACAATCGATAGAGCCTTTACGGAACCTAATAAAACAAACAACGCGCTAAAGCTGGCATCGATCGCGGAGTATCGATACGCTATTTACAACCGCGCCGAGATTGCTGCTGATATTAGATACACGTAGCAATTGTCGTTAGCTTTACGATGCCAGAAAGTATTTTACTAACTCGGAGAAAAATCGTAACTAAAGCACTCTCTTCCGTCAAACGTGAAATGCAGGGAAAAATATTTTTACGTATTTTAATTCTCATAAATTTAAGGGTTCGAGGAAGTCACGAATAGCTCCGCAGATTCAGATATCAACGACGTTACACGATAATTTGACAATCAATAGAGCCGTTACGGCACCTCAATAAAACGAGCAACACGCTAAAGTCGGCATCGATCGGAGAATATCGGTGCACGCTGTTTACAATCCAGTTTGAGATTGCAACACCATCGCTAACTGCGAGAACCGTTCCATGTTCCTGACACGGCTCGCCCTGCGTAAACGCCGGGGGTGCGGGCGCTATCGGTCGGTGCATTCGCGTGGGTGGCGGCGAGGAGGCCTCTGTTGCAATTATGGAATTGAGATCCTATCTGGCCGCGCGCGAGCTGCGCTGGGAATCGACCCGTTCGCTCTTCCGACGAGTCGCCAACCTACTTACAACTATAGGGTTGCCATATCAAAATTTTCAAAACTAGAACTTACAAGCCAAAAACCCCGGACATTTCGTGTGCAACTCCGGACGCATATAAAAAAAAAAGCGTGCGTATCAGGTTAGCGGTTACGTTTCTGAATGATTACGCGGTAGGAGTCGAAATATTTAGAAGATTCCCTGAAATCCCGGACGCTCATAACTATCCCGAACGTCTTCGGAAAATTCCCCCGGACGACCACGGA